CCCCCCCCCTCCGCCCAGCCAGGACAGGGGGTAGGACTACCCCCATAATACAGGACATCTTAAGTTAAAAACTACAAAGTGTACTTAATCCTATGTCCTACTCCCCCAAATCGAACCTTAATTAGACCTGGAATTTAGTGTAAACCCCACTGTATTACGGGAGGTTCCTACTAATTTGTCCTGCGAAGGGAACGCAATAACGAAAGACTACCAATGGAAGGGATAATAACCATGGTAGGTGACATCAACTGCCATGGAAAAAAGATTATCTGGAACTTCGTGAATGGGTTGGGAAAGCGGTCTGGAAGTAGCTGGGTAAGAAGGATTTTTATGACCGCCTAAACTGGAGGCGGGAATGGGAACCCCCCAGCCCACTTAAAAAGCAAAAGGTATTGCGGTAAATTTCAGGAAGGGTATATATTCTGGTGGCTTAACCCTAACATAAAACTCAACTCTTACGTTTATCTTAACCCTAACTCCACCCCTAACCTAAGCCCCAGTGTTAACATGAAACCAAATCTTAACCTTTAATATAATCCCAACCACAACCCCAAGTTCAAATTTGACCCTAACATTAATCTTAACGCTCGCCTTAATCCTAACCGTACTTGCCTTGGAATTTGGCGCAACACCGAACGTAGTGTGTATGCTTCCTTTTTTTGGTGACCATATAAGTCACCCTTAGCAGCAGCTGAGTTATCCTCGACCAAGGATACTTTTGTTCTGTGGAATACTGCTCCTCGTCCTGGAAGCCAAATACGGACTCTCTGCAAGTCGATGCTTGAATTAAACCAGCGTTTGAAGCCTCTCCGCAACCAGCCTACGCGCTGGTTTTTTTTCCGGATAGTGTATTCGCTGCAGTCTATAATACACCTTGATCGAACTCGAAAGAGTAGAATTCAATGAACTCCTTTTTATCTTACAGAAATAATTAACTCTGTACGTTCCGCTAGTGTTAGACTATAGATATGTTTGTCGCCTTATTGTTCAAAATTTTGTCAATCTCAAGGAAGATTGTGCTCCCTGCATCGTAGTTTGCTTGGCACGCATTTATTCGGGGGTCTTCCACAGTAAGTAAATGAAACTGGATGTTTTGAGTAAAAACTTTCTCCGGTAAGGGTTGATGAACCCTCAGCACTCTTTCACATTCGGTTGCGCGTCAAAAGTGTGAAAAGCATAGGATATCCAGCCACGTTCTTTCAGACCTTGTGGTTTCCGAACAAGGAAAGGCAAGAAACGTAAAATATGGCTGGATGTGTCAGTGCACTAAGCGAGTGCCCATAAACTACCTACTTTGTAAACTGGTATTCGCATGACAGGAAATGAGGAAACCTCCCCTCTCTCATAATGCAGATGGACTCACGAAAATTTCCCTAGCCTCAACCTTAATCAAAATACTGAACCCTAGACTTATCGTTAAATTTAACCTTGACCTGCCTCAACGCTAAACCCCCTTCGTCCTGGAAATTAGCACACGGTCCATGGACTACAGGCATTTCCTATTCCCGCGTCTTATTCATGTGATAACTCATTCGGTCGACGACCTTGAAGTATGCTGAAAGTAAGCGACGCAAATTTCCAATTCAGACTCAATGTTCGTCACAAAACACCGCTAGTTGATGTCCATTGCTCGCTTTATCTAGCCACCTATCATTTTTACAATTTCCTTAGGGCCTCCAAGGCTGCATTTTAATCTATAGAGTACAGACATGTGAAATCTTTCACGCGTCAATGGGTTTTTGAGCTTGGCCAGTTGACTACTGTTGTAACGGTGGCCAAGACTGCAATATTCGCCGTCTAACTACGCCTCATGTGAGCCCCCACAGATAGAGAGAGAGAGAACACGACAAGGAGTGGACTAAGGTAGCAGTCTTCGAGCAACCTAGTACAGCATAACTTAAAGCAAGCGAATGCGTATGTACAAGTGTGGACCAATTGGATGGTAGTCACAGGAAAGGCACGACTTCATTGGCTGGTGAGTCATGAGAGTTGGCGTGTTAGTCTACCGCCGGCTGTAGCTGGCCGCACCCTCAGACAATGCTCTGTCTGTGTG